TATTAAATACATTTTTAAAATTAATAAATAAACAAATTTGGTTTAATTAGCTGTTAACATTTAACAGGCAACCCCTGCAGATGAGGTTTCTTCTTTCGGTTCAAGGTGGTTGTCCCATAAAAAGGGATTTGTGTGCTCTATTTCAGCTGTGTCCAGAATAAATTGATTCAATTCTAATTTATTGAATTTTATTTTCTTTTCTTACACATTAAAGGCAGCTAGCGCATTGGGGCAGCGAGCAGAGGAGTTTGAATAGCGAGAGAGCAATTATAAGGAGTGCATCAATCCCGCTCTCATCAAATGAAGCTGCTGTTTTACACAGTAGTAAAATTTAATATTTACATTTCCAGATATTTATCATTTAAATTTCATAATATTAATAATAATAATAACTTTTTAGTCTAGATGTTTATAGTCACTATAAATTGGTTGGCTAGAAAGTTAGCTTGGGTTGAAACCAGGCTATACTTATAGAAATCGGATAATTTGTATAGCGAAAGGCGATCTGTACTAAATATTATATATAGAAATTGCATCTTCAATGCTGTTATATTTCACGCCGCTTGCGCAAACAGCAAGGCAGCGGAATGGTTTGCGCAAGCCGTCTGCTCAACGTCTATCAAGCTTAACGCAGAATGGCCACCCTGCAATAACTATTGCACACACACACACATGAAAATACATGTACACACACTCTCACACACACCGACAGCAGCCAATCGAGCACATGTGACTTTTTGGCACTCTTTTGGGCCGTAACTCGTGGCTGCTGTAAAAGTTAATCACTGTGACTGATTCATTACGTGGGCTGCTTGATTTGGCGGTGACGAAGGTGACTTTGTGTGCAGGTGGATAGTTTTAGTTGGCAATGTCACCCGTGTGCCTTGTGCCTTTTGCCTTGTTCCTCGTTGTCCCCGTTGTGCAGTTGCACTCGTCAAGTTTGTGCAGCGTAATTCGCACAATTGCAAACTTTGACGCAGCAACGCTGTTTGCCGGTTTCGTTGACATCAACAACGGCAGAGGGAAAAGGAAAGGGAGAGAGAGACAGAGCGAGAGACAGCGTCGTCTGCTTACAATAAAATCGTAAACGTAAGTGCTTACAAAACGTAATCACTGTAATGTTACGACGCGACAGCAACGGTAACGAGCAGGCGGCAGCTAACGTCATGGAACTTTTCAGCTGCTCTCAAACGTCAAAGCCCCTGGGGCGCACACAAATGCAAGATTGTCTGTGTGTGTGCGTGTGTGTGTATCAATTTGTGTTAGTTGTAAGGCAACAACGCAGAAATTCGTGTATTTCGCATCCGTTGTCGCCGACAACAGCAGAGCCGACTTACGTTTTGCTGTAGTTGTAAAAATAACTATTGACGCTTCACTGAAGAGGCAGCCAAAAGTTATAGAAGTATGTCTCTCTCTCACACACACTCTCTCTCTCTGTGTGTGTGTGTGTGTGTGTATGGCTGTGTGCGTGTATAAATAAAGCATCAACACCAGGCACATTGCAGCAGGAARTCGTCGCCGTCAAGTGCGCGGTCTGCAGAAATTGTTAAAAACTTTTGCAAATTCTTCATAGTGCGGGCAACAGGAGCAATRCAACAACAACAATAACAACTGCAATAATGGCAACTACAACAGGAAACTGTGGGTGGATGCCGCAGACAACAAAACCGCCAACCGACAGCAGCAACAACATCATCAACAGCAACAACAACAACAATATTGCAGTGTAATCAACAACACCACATGCGACGGCCGTTGGCAGCCAGCGCCGAGAAGGACTGCAGCTAAGTTCCTGGCAAACCACTCAAGGGTTAAGCAGCATGCCGCATCCTCAGACTTTTCTCCATTGTTGTTGTTGTTGTTGCGCCTGTTGCTGTTGTTGCTGTTGGTGGTGGCCATTGCAATGTGTATAGTTGTATAGTTGTAGGTGCAGCTGTAACGAGTTTCCCAAAATATTTGAGCGTTGCGGTGCCTGATGAATTTCGAGTTGCCTTGGTGATTTTGATGAATGCCTTCAATATCTGTGCGCGCAGAAGATACGAATTATATGCACGCATGTATGACATGTTTGCTGGCATGCATGCATGTATGAATGTGTGTATGTGTTTAAGTGTGTGTGTGTGGGTGTGTGTGTGGGCACAAAGCTGATCCTGAGTAATATTGCAACTGCGAGCTGAGCCATATTGGAGGGCTTTGTGTGTGGGGCGCATATGAATGGCATGTAAACCAGTGGCTGTAATAAAATTCCAGAGTTTTGGCCAAATAATGCAATTGCGGCAACTGGATGATAGCTGCAAATATTCATGTGGCTTACATAGCATATGAGAATTGAGGTCGATCGACATATATTGGGCTTAATATTGCCAGCTGTAAGCGCATTGACCCATAATCTTCACATTGACATTCCACATCATCCTGAATGCCCAAAGCAACTTCGCTCGCATAATAATGCAAACCCGAGCTGGCATGACTCCCGCACCGATTTATGAACTGACTCCATACTCTGTGTTCCACACGATCGATCCTGTCTGTTGTGGCTTCTAAGAATCATATTTATGTTGAAGTTCCTACTCATTAATATTTCAATACAAAATATTTGTCATTTAAATACAAAACATATTCCAATTCGTCATTAATTATTTTCGAGGAGCTACGGTGCGCTGACATACATATATACAAAGAGAGAGCGTGAGAGATAGAGTGACTAAGATTGCCTAGTTTGCATATACTTATAATATAATCTGTTAGTATACTCAACATTTAACACCAAAGCTTTAACGCAGCTGATGATTGTTGGAATATATATGTATGCATGGAATCATAAGGACACACTCTAATTAAAAAAATCCACTCACAAATGAATGCAAAATAAAAAAGAACATTGATTTCCTCCTCTTCCCTTCCTCAACACTCTATCATATTTATGAGAATCGCATAGACAGGCAGTATTTACTTTATTTACTTAAGTTCTTAAATTTCGTCTGATGTTTTAATCTTGGCAAATTTCAATACGAGATTACAATGTTTATAATTGTGTTGATTTGCAGAAGTCCCAAATAGATTGCATTTGTGCAGGGCTCTCTTTGTTTATTTTTGGCCAACAAGTTTCGGGGGGCTGCTGCAGTTGCTGCCGTTGCTTCAGTTTGTTAGAATTTGATTTTGAAAGCAACAATTTCATTAGCATAGATTACGAGTCGTTCAGACAAAAGCAACAGACTTGCATGTCAAATGAACCCAGTGCGAGTGTAGTCCTTGTGCACCCTCCCTCACCACCTACTCCCCCTCGATTGGGGCCARGAGCGAGGAGGACTCGTTGCATTTTTGGTGTAAAAATTTCTAAATTGTACATTCATTGCATTTGCATTTTACAAGTAAATCCCCAACTGCCAATCTAATGTATGTTGCAGCCCCGAACTTTGCACTCGCTGCGCTGTCTGTCTGTCCGCCTGTTCGCCTGTTCGCCTCTCCATCTGTCTGTATGTCTATTTGTTTGTAGCCAGCGAAGCGCCTAACCATTCGTCCAGTTGCCAGCAGCTCCAAGTCTCGAGTTCCGTGCCCCGACTCCGTATTCCGTAGTCCGTAGTCCGTAGTCCGGGATCCTCTTTGTGTAAAACATTGAAAACTCGGCTGCTTTTTCCCTTTTATTTTGCAACTTTGGTGCAACTTCAATTTTGAACCAACACGCAGCGGGGGCATTCCCAAAAATAAAAAAGGAAAGGAAAAAGTGGAAGGAATTGAACATAATAAAAGCTCAAAACGCAGCCGTAACATCCCGGCACGACCCTCCCGAAAAAGCAGCGCCAGAAAACTTTGCCGAAAAATCACGGAATCAACTGCGCGCTGGGCGGCCGACACGAGACACGAGAGTCCATTGGCAACCGTTGGGTGCTGCAGCAGCAACTGCTCCTGCTCCTGCCGCTGCTCCTGCTCCTGCTCCGGCTGCTGCTACTCCTGCTGCTGCTGCTGTGTCTGCTACATCGTTAGTTGCATTGAAGTTTACCCTCGTGCTGGCACCCGATGGCCCCTGGTCACGAATTGCTTTTTGTGAGCATGAATAGATAAATACGCTCCACTCCACGGGCTGTGCAAGGTGTCGGTGGCGCTGCTGCCCTCCAGCCAGGCGACCAACCAGCCCGACAGCCAGCTTGTCTGTGCGAAATTTGAAAA